TGTCTCCACATAATGTTTTACAGCATTGCAGCTGCTGCTGATGGTAACTTATCATTGGTAAGCATCCCTGTAAGTTAATAGGGCAATTTGTAAAAAAAAAAATCGTTTTCACTCATGCTTGCTGGTAAAACAAACTAGAGTCGACCCGTGGAATAGCCGCACCGACCGAGGATGGGGGTATTTTCCGGCTCGCTTGGTCAGGCACTTTATTATTATCGTCGACTATGACAGCCACGTTGTCACACTCACTTGTTTGTCAGAACTGAGCTGATCCCAGCCATGGTTGCCGTTTCAAGAAGAGAAAATGGTGCGGCTGCTGCCAACGATGTTGAGCAGTGGGCAGTTGCCATCACAAAGCAATGGTCAGCTGAAGTGAGGCTGGAAATTAGTCGTGAGAAGCATCGAGCGAGAACGACACGATATCGTTCGAGACGCCAAGCAAGTTAAGAGGCGATGATTCGGGAACACCAGCGGTTAGAGGAAACGCTACGACGTGGTCTTGCCGCCGCCAAGCACACACTTGTTCGTGATGAAGAAGGACAAGGCTTAATGGTCGGGATTCTACGCCTGGCATTACAGCGCGAACGACTGAGCTCGCAGAATACGGAGCTCCGTGCAGCCCTTGCGCGTCACTTCGAGTTTCTGAAACGGCTTTCAAACACAAGCTTTCATGTTTTCAATGAAGATCACAGTGACTCGAATGACACGGGACAGGAACGAAGTCACCTCGGAGCCATGCATTCTGGCAACAACCCCGAGTACAGAGATGGAGGATGGTGGGTGCATTTCGCGGACAACTCACCTCCCTTTTATTTCAACCCGTTCTCACGTGACATTGTTGACAAGTCCGACCCGTTCGATTCCAAATTGACCAAACATTGACCGGCCGAGTCCCCAGTTGGCACATTTATGGGCTGGAATCTGCACCAGACTAAACTCTTTCGAGACAACAATCTTCCACTGTTGCGTGTAAAGCTGTTGAAGAAGTCCCGGTGCTCTATCGAGGACGTTTACAAAGTTACATGCAGCCAACCAAAAGCCTGTCGACCGACACTAGCAGTGCCGAAGAACTGGGGGTTAAATCAGCGCTACGACGTCACGTTGCAGGTCCTCCAAGTGTTCGATCAAGCCACGCATCTCATTGTCGACAACATCCCAGGCCCTATAAACCTGCGATACTTGTGCGTTGCCCGAAAAACGCAATGGGAATTGAAAGGCGGTAAACGG